ACAACAACAACAACAACAACAACAATGTTTATAAATTAAGTAATTGCTAATACTTTGGAGTGAATGCCATTGCTTATGTAGGTAAGTAAATAAATTAGCACTGCCTATTAAGATGTCAACAAGTTTAGAGGAAACCAAATGCCTGCAGAAAAATACTTCAGGAAGGATCCTTCTTGTACCCGTAAAAAAAACAACCTTTGAGGACTGAGGGTGCTCAAAGGTTACAGGATGCTGGCTAGCTATTGTGGAAAACAAATAAGCAGAAAGCTAGATGGGAGGGGAAATGGAATGAAATAGTGGAAAGGCATGGATGATTGAACAAATTTGCTTCATTATGCAACTTATTGCAAATCCCTCCTGTTTAATATGACAAACTTCAATCCATTAAAATAGCTGATTTGAATTACTCTCTCCTGGAACCAAAGCTGACTAGCAAAAGCACAACTGTTTTAGGGGCTGATCCATAGCTGCCCCAACAGGAGTATCCCTGCTCTTAGGGATAAAGGAAAGAGAGGGATAGTAAAGGAAGGGTGAGAAAGCAGAATTCCATCCTGTCTTCATAATGTTGGAATACCCCAAAACACAGAAAACACATTGCTAAGAGGGCACTTGAGAGCTGGGAATGTGTGATTGGATCAGATTCACATCTAACTGGAAGAACTGACTTTATGGTGGCACTGCAAAGGGAGTTAGAGCACTACACTGCCCTTTTTGTTAAGTACACCTTTTCAACAATTCAGGACTCAGCATCCACGACTGTTGTTGTCTAAATTATTCCAGTGATACGGGGCACATCTGATCAGAGGTGTAGCTGCGAGCATATCTTTTCACAAATAAGAATTCTGCCCCCCTCAATGAAATTTTCCTTCATTTCCCAGATTTCTAGCATTACAGTAACTTAAAACTTCAGCTGAGCACATAGAAATATAGGGCCTTTGCAGACTGCCAGAAATAGTGCACATTAAATTGAGGCACTGCCCTGGCTCAGTGCTAGGGAATCATGGGAATTGTAGTTTTTTCTGAGACATTGAGCCTTCTCTATCAGAGAGCTCTGGTGCCACAATAAAAAACCTGGTGACCCCATAGTTAATGCATCCAAAGCAATAGGGCAGGCAAAGGTACCAAGGGGATGAGAACACCACAAATAGAAGCTTAAGTGTAATAGAAGAGGCCTAGGTGAGATTTTCAGTGTCTCACTCTTTGTGATGCTAGAAATTATTATTATCATTATTATATTTATTTATATCCCACTTTTCCCCCACAATTGGACACAAAGTGGCTTAACAAATTAAAAAAACAATACAATTACAGCAAAAGCATACAAAATGTGGAAATGCAGAAATATGACAACTTAAAGAAAATTTCATTTGGGGAGCAGAAATCTTATTTGGAAGGCAATACCTTTAGTTTGTATTCCCCATAGCTATATCCCAGTATTTGATCTTTTGCGGAAACACCATCATTCCTGCACTGCTGTCAGAAATCCTATTGCTTTGTGTGCAGAAATAAAAGAGAC